ATAGATAGATAGATAGATAGATAGATAGATAGATAGATAGATAGATAGATAGATAGATAGATAGATAGATAGGTAGATAGGTAGGTAGGTAGGTAGGTAGGTAGGTAGGTAGGTAGGTAGGTAGGTAGGTAGGTAGGTAGGTAGGTAGGTAGATAGGTAGATAGATAGGTAGAAGATAGATAGATAGATAGATAGATAGATAGATAGATAGATAGATAGATAGATAGGTAGGTAGATGAAACTCTCGGATACAACTTTTCAGCTAAGTGCTTTTTTTAAATTCTTTTCGGATTTTTTTAAAGTTGTTTTTTCGCCGAAGCCGTCATGCCGACACGTTCGTTGTTTTTTCTTTCTTTTTTCAGTTTTTCATTTACTTTACTTTACTCATTTCCCCTTAATATAATATATTTTTTATTTATGTGTGCGAGCAATTAATATGTTTATTTAATACAGTAAAAAATAACCTACCTCCTTCATTATCCGACTTGCTGGTAGCTAATAATAAAAATCAATATAAAATTAATTACTTCCTTTTTTTAATTAAAAGCTTGGATTATTAAAAATTAATTGATTAATCTTACAAACTTATGACTTTTTGTACCATTAGGATTTTCAATGTTGATATTTCAACAGTACACACAATTGTTTGTCAAGTACTTTGAGACACACTGACACTTTCACAAAGTATTTTTTTTTTTTTTTAAATCCCCGAATGCTGCAGCCAAGAAAAAGTCGAGCTGCCCAAGTCAAATGTTTAAAATGGAGTTTAGCTGGCATATTCCATATTCCACCGCAAAATGCTATGCGACACAGCGCTCCAAGGCAAAGCACATTAGCATGAGAAAATAAGATCGTACATCTCTATGCAAATCACATCAAAATATTGATGAGTGTTTGGATGTGTGTATTTCTATATATGTATCTTTCTGTTTATATGTGTAATAAGGGGCTGGATGGATGTCCGTCGTTTAAAATAAGTCAATTCTGATAGCCGCTGGGTGTTAGGCATGCTGAATTTTTAAGTTGTTACATTTGATGTTTAAATGAATCTGAAACTGGAGTTTCTGCTATAGTATTCTTGAAATAATAAAATAATGTGATGCTGATATGTTGTAATTATAAGAGGAAAGTTGTAAAAAATACGTACAAAAAAAAAACAAAAAAAAACTCGTTTCTTTTATGAAATAGTTTAGGTCAATTGGAAATGTAACTCTTCAATTTAATTTTTTTAGATTATTGTTTTCAAGAGTTTGTGTGTGCTTTTAGAGTGTTTGACTTAAGAACAAATATTAACGTCGTTTATAGATTAAATCTAGTTGTAATTTGAACATTTAATCATGAAACAATTGTAGGAGAATACCTCTCGTTATCATATTTAAAAGACTTTAAATAATAATCTTTAACTTTTTTTTTACCATAGCAACACTTTAGCTTAGGCCTACACAACATACGGCCGCATGTGGCCCACCAGCACCCACTCTGTGGCCCGCGAATTAACACATTTTTAAAAAAAATGCTTTCTAAATAGCTTTCCCCATGTCCTATTTATTTCGGCCCGCGCACGTTTCTCGTAAAGTATTACGGCCCGCCTTACATTTTGAGTTATGCAGGCCTGCTTACATTTATACCGATCTTTAAGACCCTTTTTTTTATTGTTTCATTATATTACAATGAAAATAATTTAAATTGAACATTTTAAGTTTAAGATGTAGGTTATTGTGCAACTATTAAATCCCAGTTAATTTTTCAGGAAGTACTAGAGCAAATTTTCAAATGAAAGTAGCCTAGATTCTTTCATGCAAATTGTCTCCAGCTTTTATAAACACATTACATTTTTCTAGGGTAGGATAGACTTGGAATTATGTGTAACAGTACTATCCATTCACCCAAGCTTATTAACCTAACTATGGTAAGGCATGAGATGAATCAAGAAGTAAGGATAACGAGTTCTATCTTTATTATATTACTCGGACTTAAATCAACTCACATGTAGTACAATCAAGTCCCTGAAATCCACTTCGACATCCATTAAAACAACGGCCATTTTCAATGTCACAGAGTCGAACTGCCTTTGAATTTGTGTTACAGTTAGAACTACAAGTGGCTTTGCAACTTTCACCATAGGTGGAGCTACTGCATGCTATGAATATAAAATAAATTTCACAATCACTTAACATATCTATCTTTAAAACAAACATTCGTGTCCATCCATGATTTCAAATAGATTTAAACAAGAGGTTAAAAAAAATTAAAGCTATAAAAAAATATAAGCCATGTTAATGAATTACGGTATTGAAGAAATGTTTTACTTTTTTTCTTATTTCTCTTTGCAATGAAGCTTAACACTAGTTGTGTGGATTGATTGTATGCATCGGTTTACTAACCTTCATCACACTTATCACCTTGGAAGCCAGCCTTACAACTTATACAAATACCATTTTTGATATCACAGACTGAATCTTTACAGTTTGCTGAACAAAGCGTGGTACAATTGAAGCCATAGAAACCAGGCTCACAAATCAAACAATGCCCCTCAGTGAAGTTGCAGATAAAACCAGTGTGAGAACAATTTGGTGAACAGTTTGACGTGCAATCACTTCCATAGAAACCATGATCACAATCTGGAATAGGAAGAAAAACTTGCACCATGGGTTTATAAAATTTTAACATTTTTTATGGAGCTGTTTTGTAAATATATATACGAAAATTTTACATACGAAACTCATATTAGAAAAAAGTATCTTATGAGAAGGACATTTTTATTATCAAATGGAAGAATAGGCTAAACATGTAATGACCGAATTTTAAAAAAATGCCTTTGTTGAGTTAGGCAATAAAAGTTTGTTAAATTTAATTTTAATGCACTTAAAATGAACGTAGTGCACGTGCTTTGTAAAAAATGTTTTCTACTATTTCCGCCAGGTCCATCGATAGAGAACAGACGTTTATTTAAGGTAGAGTTTTAAATTGTGTCCCAAATTTTGTCGTGAGATGGTCTTTGATCTTGATTGAGTATTTGAACATGTTTTTTCGAATTTCCTTTTCTTTCGGAAATCGGATCATAATATGTTCCGAAATGGATTTGCCTTATACAGTGGCCGCCTCCAAGGTCTTGGCCAAAAGCCTTCAATAACATTTTATGTACTTGATGGATCATTAATTTCATGTTTTTAAAAGTTTAAGTGGAGAGCTTTTCCTCCATCAGGAAACCATCTCTTATAGTTTTCCAAAAGGTTGTCCATATACTTATAGAAAAATGCTGCTGCAGCCGAAGGCTAACACATGACACAAATAAATGTAAACAATTATAATTGCAAACGTTGTACTGGTATTTGATGGGTCGTAAAGTCCATTAGGCAAACATTCCATTCTGATTCGTCATCAGGTTATCACCCTCTTGTCATTTAGGCTTCTTGGAAAGTGGCGGAAAGGATAGGATTCCGTTGACAGTTGTAAGGTCCTCGAAAGATGTTGCACCCCTAACTCGGAGAAGGAGAACTCGTGGAAACCATTTTTATCTCCCGGTATGACTTACTGTAAACATATACTGTCACTTGCAGTTTCATGTCCTCGAAGAAGTGAATTTTAAATTTTATTTTTAGTAATCCCATGCATTGTTTTCAGGAGTTTTCATTTATACATTTTCTTGGACATTGGGGTCTTCCCGATTAAGTTTGAACCAAGAAAAAATGTGTGGCCTTCTGCTGTACAGCTTTAATTTATTGCCTGTTATATATATATATATATATATTGTATGCTTTTCCTCAAGGTGGACTATTATTTTTTTTTGCGTTATCAGTTTGGTGATGCATTTATTATTTCCGGAGACTCCATCATATATGCTTTAAATGTAGTTGATCTGAGGTCATCATGAATTTTAATTACTAACTTCTGTGTAATCTTCTTTACGTGATAATTTGACAACACACTATATTTATTCATTTAAATTATCAACAATCTGTGTTCAATCTTCTCATACAAACATCTTGTTTCAATTACCATTTGATTCAACTTCCTTCCATTGTTTCTTTTTTTGCCCTCATTTGCAAGTTTTCTCTCAAGTCCCAATACCCTGTATATTATATAAGTAATAACTACCACATTACTTATCTCCCGTATATTCATAGTCATTGCTGTGACAATATATGTATAATTTATATATATATATATATATATATACATATATACATAATCTAAAGTGAAAGAAAATAATAAGAATGCAAACAAGTCCCTGACAAAGGAAGCTATTAATTGGAACTAAAATTTTTAAAAAAATATACTAAAACCTTATTGAAGCTTATCCTTTATTGTTTTATTCACACAGATTGTTTGCGTCTCAGGAAATTACTTGAAAGATTTATCGCAGTGCAACGCTATTATTATTTCTTTATTGTTTTGTTTAAAATTCATCAATATGAATACATTTTGTATGTTTTTAGAATGTATCAAAATGTAATGTGTTGTTTACCATGTCAATAAAAGTTTGCATACCTTCTGTACAATATGGAAGCTTCTTTCCTTTAGTAGCACAACTGGTACATTTGCCGTCTTTGCCTTCACATTGACCTGAACAATTACTGCATTTATTTCTGCAGTCGATTCCAAAGTAACCAACATCACACGCTACAACGTCGAAAAAAAAAAAAAAAATTAAACGTTAATGAAACTATTAACGTAGACTAAGAGTTTTCGATCCTGTCACCAGTTTTTGGTTTTAAAAAAAGAGATATTAATTATTGAGGCATGTGTAGTCACATTATAAATTTAAAACTTGTAACCAGTCGAGCTTATGATCCTTAATTAAAGTCTGACATAATTAAAAAAAAAAAAAATATTCGCAGATTTGTGGAAATTAATGGAGGTTATATTTTAAAAGTGACATAAATTTGCATTTTTATTTAATCGAAGAGGCATTAACTTTGTTGCCAGAAAAGCTGAAAACATGAAATTAATATTTATCAAAAAGAAAACTTCCCAGTGGCCCTAAAAAAGGAGGGGTGGCATGTTTCATAACAGTGTTTAAGAACTTGTGAGGTAAACATGCACATGAAGTAATTGACAAATCCATTAGGAAAAGTCACTGTATACATACTTTTGTTGCATCCTTGACCATAGTATCCAGCCTTACATCCAGATGGACAGTTTCCTGTACTAACAAAACACTTTTCACCCGGTACGTCACAGTTACATACGTTTTCACAGTCACGGCCATATGTCAACGTATCTCTTGTACACACTGAGTCTGAGAAGAAGATATATTGTACAAATGTGAAGCTTTAAAATTTATAACAAAACGTTTCACAGTTTATCACGATAAAAAAATCATATTTTCCCCCTTAAGAGCGATTTCCCGTGTTATTAATGTGTGACAACAACGGTGAGTTGCAAACATTTGTATAATGCGTGTTCCCCGTTGTTGTTGAACAACAAAATATAATACTAGGCCCTCAAAATATATATCTTATTAAATCATAAGCCATACTGATTCCGTGCGGAGGAAAATGATAACAGTCTCACACAAAAATAAAATAACTTAATTAAACAAGCCAACGTGATACATTTAATCATCTTACTAAACATTAGTAAAACTGTTTTATTGAGGAAGGTTTTTAATCATTAAGTATTTTTATTTACTCTCTGGTGTTTACAATACAAAGCCTGAACGTAGCTACATATGTAACCGTAGCTATCTTTTTTATACCAGGTATTTCTAACAGTTGACTTAAAAATGTAATTGGTGAATATCTTTTTACAATTTAATTTTATCGTAATTGTGGGCACATTTCAAAAGAGTTAAATTTACTTCAAAGAAACTAAAAAAACAGAAATAAAACAAGTGTTCTTAGTTATAAAAATTACAGCCATGAGAAAATTAGGACCAATTAAACATGTAACATCTGAAAAGAACACAATTTAAAACCTTTTTTCCGTATAGCAGCTAGCCGGAAGAAAATTTATTCAAATAAATAATACCGTATTTAATGTATCCTGCACTTTAATCAGCGAATTTTATAAAAATAACAATGTTTACTATTTTTGTATTCTCAATGTTACAATTACTGTAATGTTATCCACCACTGTAAATAATTAATCAAGTAAATTTAACTGGCATGTCCCTTTAAGTCCATCCATTAGCTATCAAAACTAGCAAAAAATTTACGATTTCATTAATGGAATGGTATCTAAATTCAATTGCTTTAGAGAACAATTCTTTGGAGGAGGAAATTCTATTCGGCCACTTTAATCTTTTACAGTACCCACTAATACTGGTATTATATCTTGCAGTCATCTCAGTGCTGTTAGGTAATTTAAACAATTAAAATCTGATAACAAACATCCTACCAGGTGGTTTGCATAAATTTCATCAACACGTCTTAGGGCGAACCTTATTTACAGAGTCAAGGCGGGAGCATAGATCACTCAACAATTTCCAAAATATTTATTGATTTTAAAAAGTTCCTAATGTTTATTATGGAGACATGCATTTTTTCTAAAGAGATTCTCAAGTTCTTTTTATCAACAAATACATAATCGTTTCGTTAATTTATGGATATAACTTTTCACCTGTCTGAAAAATTAAAGTACAGAATAATTTTAGCAAGAAATGTCGTAACCACAACGAATACAAATACATGCGACCAGATAGTCATTTAAGAAATATATATCGACATCAAGTTTTTATGTTAAATCTTTAAATGAAAATATTAGTTGCTTTTCTGAAGTTCTAGATTGAAATAAGTTTGAGCCGTTACAGCCCAATACACTCTTTTCATTCCTCATGCATGAAGTCAACTCTCATTTCTTATACAATTTCAACAGGGGATCAAGTCAAGTCTCCTGGGCAAATTGTATACTTTAAAGAAGTTGGATGAAACCAGTCCAATCAATAGAGGCAATAGACGAATACATTATGTCGGTATACATTTTGGTCTCTGCAAACTCTCAGGTTAATACTGATCTGGTTTGTGAAAGTTACTGCTTCAATATGATTATAATGAAATCTATACCTGTACGTACCGTATGAAAGGCAGTTTCGTTGATCCACTGGATACACACTTTCATCTTCTAGAATGTTTAAATAACTGTTGGGGAATTGAATCTCAACCATTCCAAACTCATAATGCGCACTCACCTCGATGGTCGGTGGTAGTTCAACAAATAAATAAAGTGACTGGACTGGGTGTTTGGAAATAAATTTGATGAAGCATTGCTCGGTACTGCAAAGTCACTGTGGGGTCTGTATCGTGGAGGTCGATCGTAGTGCAATCTTGTGGTTAGGTAAAATGTAACCTAGACAGCTCGCTAATAAGGAGAGCCGTCAATCTTCTTCATCTGAGTCGTCGATTCCTCCAGTCAGATTAAATAGTGAGACAAAGATGACGAAGTATGTATCCGACATTTGAGAAAGGAAAACGCTTTCTAGTCGTGACATTAGTTTAACGAACCAGAGTGAGATGTTGGAGGTGACGGGTGATGATGATGAATATGTGGATGAGGTTGGTATCATATCAAAACCACCTCATTTGTCTGATCCTTTCCACCTCCTCAAATAGTGTAATGGTGTTTTCTGTGTCTGTGCCTTCCATACCAGTAGTCTTTATATCGCGAAATGTGACTGTCTGACTGTCGAATGAGGCATTATAACATAA